ATATCGGTGTATGTGGTGGAAAATCTAGTCCACAAATAAATGATGTCAAATTATGCATATTGAACTAGGGCTGAGATATAATTGTTAAAGAAGGACGGCAAAGTTTTATATGGTAAAATTCATATTCCATTTTGAGACAAGGTTGTTGTCCTATGCGAACCGCCTTATCACATACTTTGTTAAAGACGTTTGCGAAAGATTAGAGAGCTTGAATACTTTTGCCTCGATCGTGAATTTCAACGCTTTCAACGCTTTTCTTTAATATACTTTTTTTTTTATAAATGGCGCATCTCCTTTTTGAGGAATACGCCCATGGATAAAAATTGACGCATGCATTTCCATCCCAGTTTGGAAATACTGCCATTCACTTATGGCAAGAAAAGCTACTCCTAGTGCGCTAAAAAGGGTACGAATTAGATCCGGATGCTACCGAAAACTTGTACGCCTAAACGTGAGTCATCGCGAATCAGGAATGACACAACTATCACACTGAACACGTTTCATCAGGCCCAAGATATGCAGCCAAGCATATTTTTCAAAGTGAGCTACTCGTTCCAAAGTCCCGTCGATTGACAGCAATGCATGCGACAGATCTTCGCTGATCCGCTGACGTGTAAAAGCTCAGCCGGATAACTATCGCCTCGGGACAGGACGGTAGGTCCATGCGATATAGTAGTATGTCCATTCGCCTAAAAACTGGCATAATGCAGACGGTGAGTAAACAGTCAAGGATGTTTAAGTAATATCGTGTCGATTAAGCTCTCCTAAAACAAACGCATTGATGCGAGCACTGGATCAGACGCGGACACGTTTGTAACCTGACAGCCAAAGTCCGTGGGTATCGAAAACGTAAACAATACTCATTGTATAACTGTTCAGAAATGGCACACCTCGGGAAATCAAAATCCCTGAGGTTATAGAATGCCATCGTGGTCCCCTCATGTAATACCGTGAGATAAAAGCACATACGTGCCCACAAAGTGCGATAGGATAGACGATAATCAACCACGACTTCCCGAATTCAGTCGCAAGAATTTTCACGATCTCCCGATCGACAGAATCCCCATTTCACGGGACCGTCTCAAGTTTCCATAGAGGATTTACGATTGCAATTACAACTGCTAGATCTGCAGCATATTGGATTGATATAATCGTATGCAACCAGTGTGACTGCATAACCAACCCACGAACAGAGAGAAAATTTCATTATTTTATTCACCATAACAAATGCCCTTGCATCCTTTTGTCCTTTCGGATTTGATCTCAATATGCAACAGAGAAACTCAAATGTTAGTTGGACTGAAATCTGGGAACGGTAAATTACGAATATGATCCGTGTGTTTATTCCCAGCAAATACCAAAACAACCGCTGGTGACTGTAAAAAAACTGTCCAAATGAAACAGGCAAATGAGCCTCGATTGAGTTTTCTTCTAATGAAAGAATTCATTGTGGCATGTGTATCATTTGGGATTTAAATTCACCGAAGTGGAACAATATTTTAGGGATATGTAGCTCCTTCATTGGTCACTTGTTTTGTATAAAGTGGACACTTATTGCCCGTTGGATGAATCAACATGCGAAAATAGATTGTAGACCGATGATCGATTCAGCAATCAGTTTGTATATGAACATATTTTGTGATGTATGGACATAACTATGAATCCCGGAGAACAGGATTCTTGGCCACTTTTTTTATAATATCTATGTCATGTCACAGCTTATCAATAGAAATAGGAGTATATGTGAAACGAAAATGGTTTTCCTAAATAACTAACACAAATATAAGGCGACTGACACAGACAGGCAAATCCGCGAATACATGAGATTGTCTTATGCTTGTGTGCATCGAGCCGAATCTCACCTTCACCAGTACTCTCCATTCGACTGGCCGTGTTGACCGTGTCACCAAACAGACAATAGCGCGGCATTTTCAAACCCACAACACCAGCACATACTGGGCCTGCCCGGGGGGAGGAGAAGGGCGGGCGGGCGAAATATTGAAACGAAGATCTAGTTCATCATTTGAGTAGACAAATAAGCTAAATCAATTTCGATCAACGAAACATCTTTTAAGAAATTACATTTTTCGGAGAGCGGGAAGATACATTATGATCACAAGATGTATTAAATTCAAATATTTCATGATAATCTTATCACCCACTTATGTACATCCGTTCATGCGACGCATGCTTAACGAAGTGACGGATTTGAAGACAGACGAACACAGTGTGGCGGAATAGAAATCAATCAATACGGAAGCCGAAAGTCATTAAATGAAACCGGATGGGGCATACGGGCAGTAAGTGTAATCACTGCAATGGGTTTGGTGCTGTCATACCTACTAGGGCAGTGCAAAGCTGGCCACGGATTCGGTGTGTTTATACAAGTCGGATTTGTAATGCCGAGTGGCGGTTGCCTCAGTAAACCATAAACGGCTACCCTTTTGACGGATCAAGACATGAGAGACGTTCCTGGTATTAAATTGTATCATTCTCCAGCGATGCACACACATATATCACCTCAAGTCAAATAATCTAATATTTCAAAAGTTTGAATATTCCCATGATAGTATTGAGAAAACGAGTCGGTGAGTCAACAATTGGGATATATTTATATATTCCTAGTCATGCTCTTACATATCACCTAACGGAAAAATGGTTATATAATGATAGTTACTGACTCAATTTAAGGTCATTAGTCGGAGGACTGAGAGTAGAAGATGTGTATACGTGCATTTGTTTGTGTATGTCTATGTGTGTGTAAGAAAGTGTAATGTGTTTGTTGGTGACCTGCGGAAACTGATCTCATCCATGATAATTTACTCTGTTAAGTGCGTCTGTGGCTTGAGGTAACGTGTTTGTGTCAACACGTTAAGGAACACCATCCGCGGTGATTAAGTCAGGGAAAAACCGGCTGTATTTCAAGTGCGATTGTGGGTCATCTCGTCGACACCGGGAACAAGATCGAACCGGAAAAAGCTTTCAGTGTCGCATGTAGCAACCCAATCAATCTAACGTGGGCGGCCCGAGTATGGACAGTAGCTGTGGCCGAGGCGATCGCCATTCGCTTACTAAGCCCCAACCTGTGTGTCCAAAAAAGACTGGTTCGAGCTCTCCAATTGCCTTCGCCGGGTGTGAAAACCAGGACAGAACATGACGTGTCACTTGACCCAAGTGGGGAAAGGTAATATCAACTAACACACTAAACATGTGTACACACGCATACACCGACATATACAGACACACGCACATACACACATTCTCTACTCTCAGTCCTCCGATTAATGACCTTAAATTGAGTCAATGGCTATCATTATGTAACCATTTTTCCACTATGTGATATGCAAGGGCATGACTAGAAATATCCGAAAACAATTGTTCGCTGACCGACTCGTTTTCTCAATCTAATATTTCTACGCAAATAACATTCAGATATCAGGTTTCGAACTGTCCCCACTGATACCCATGGTAGAGATTTCCGACACAAATTTCTGGCTCTATTAGTGCAACTAACTGAGAGGAGTTACACGACGGCCTGCTAATGGGACAAAGGTGGGGAAGAGTAGGCAGCCTGAAGAGTTGAGGATTCGCCGAAATAAATTTGGGAAGATGCTTCTAAATCTTTGAAAACCAACGATCAAGCTGACAACAGTGTCCAACAAAAGGAATTCATTACGCTATTTCACATATGGTGGATGGTGCAACTGTTACCATTCGGAAAAAGAACTCTAAAGAGTAGTCAGCCAAAGCTATTGAATGTGATATTTTCTAACATCACCACGCCTAAGCAAGAGTGATTTAAAACCCAAAACGGGCGGATGCGTACGAGCAGGTGTAGGCGTAAATGCAACGAAGACATGGTTTCGTGAAATGCTTTTGATTGGAACCAGCAGTACGAGTACCACATCGCTCCTCATTATTTTCTCATATATGAATAACCAACTGGTTTCCCCCTCCCCCGCCCCGNCCCTAAAAAAAACATCGGAACAGATAACTCGATGACTTTGGTCAACCTCAGCGTGGCTGGAGTGAGTCAGTGACAAACGCATATCCGTTTTCTACAAAGCGTTCGAGCAATCAACATTGGGATAGACCGAGGGATATGCAAATCTTGCAAAACTTGACAACCGTGAAACCAAAATTCTGTTTATCTGGAAATACTCGGCTCATTAAAGCAAACTGAGGGAAGTCGAGTTGGGAATTCAGAGAATTCATAGAAATGCAAAATAATCTTCGACAGGACAGAAGCTTGTGCTAAAGATTTAAAAAATGACGGGTTAAGAGGTTTCCTCCGCTTCACTTACTCTCGTCAGTCACAAGGCAACACTCGTGAATCTATATATAAGCAGTGCAATATTGAAAAGTCGTGTAATGGCCCATTCATATCTGTAAAACGTATCCCCTCAGATAGTTTGAAGCAGATGCTAATCATCGTTTTGGAGTCGGGTTCAGTTTGCATTTTATTTTATCAAATAAATGATTGCCATCATCCTTGTTGTGTTCTCAGCGGTTGATATCTTGCAAATGAAGCTCCATCACAATGCAATCAGGCGTGGACACCAATCAACACTTTAAAGTTACTTCTGCTTGGCTTACAAAGTAGAAATAGTGGGAAACCTCTTCTGAACGATATGAACAACCTTCACGAAAGCCTAAAATGAAGTAGAATTCAGTAACCAATATTGCCGATCCACGAATATCCGGAAAACCTGACTGGATTCAATCACAATCCGAGAAATAGATTCAAGCCGTTAGCGACCATTGAAAACAGAGAAAAGCATGAAGGCAGGCGCGATACTGAATCTCCCACTGGGCAGTTGCGATCACTGCTTCATGTTTTGTATGTACACGCTAAAGTCTAGTCATTCTATGCGAGTACCTCTGTTTGATATCTCTACGTCCAGGTTTTTGCATCATCATCCAGGATTATGACTCAATCACAACCATTCTGTTTTTTTTTAAATTTTTAAATTTTCTTCCTTTGTATATGCTTTGTTTACAGTGAGTTGGGTGCCCTGCAGTGAAATCCTACCCGCGCATTGAGTTAACTCACCGGAATGCAATCCGACTCGAATTTTCAGTGGTTCTTGAGGCATGTGGGGAATGACAAAACTGTGTGACACGCTGACCAGGTCCAGCGACATATCGGTCACAGCAATTGCATGTCTTTCTCCGTTTCGTCTGGGTACACCGGAAGCAACCATATCTAAAGAGTGTATGTAAAAGAAAAGCAAGAGAGAGTGTAGTTAGACATTTGATTGTTAAAACCACACTTGAAGGAGGAATTTTCACCGACAGATATATAGAGGTTTGACCGTTTGTTTTGGATAATGTAAGCTATGACTGTAGGGTAATGCTAATTAAATGATTCAGGTTGCCAGAGCTGGCGCNCGCGCTCTGGACCTTTGGATCCGAGTTCCCAAGCGAACAGCGCTGCCCAATTTTAGTCGTAGGTGTCTTCATTGTTAACAATCTCAAAACCACGCTTAACTGCTCCCAGCCCAGGTGCACAGGTTTCCGGGATTGTGTGAACGGTAGGTCTCCGTAACTATCCTTCATCACAAAATAGTGTCATAAAACGGGAAACTACGAAGTAAGAAGTGGATGAAGTATTTTTGTTCTTATCAGTCCAGTGGGTTGTTCGAATTCAAGATTGTTGAAATGTGAGATATTTCCCGTCTGAAGTAGTACCACAGAAACCTCCGCTATCCCCAACAACGTATTTTCAGCAGAACGTCTTGTGGCCTACCTCATTTTGTATGGAAACTGGATTTAGTAGTACAACGGAGGTGTAAAACACGAAATTAATATCTCAGCACCTTAGCTGTATTATCTTCAATTATTGTACTTAATCACTGATTTCAATTTCAAGTGAGCTTGGAGTCTCAAGCTAATGAAATGCCAATTCCCATTTATCTAGGAGATTTTGACTAGACACGTGCATAATAGATTAGACNACAATGCTCTGATATATATCATACTTTTACAGAATCTGAATATCGACAAAACTATGGTTATATGGGGTTATATATATCGATGAGTGGTGTGCACGTAATTTACTGAGAGCCTAACACTTCCATATTCAAACAGCCCGGATTTGCATCAGCACATATTCATTATTGTCACAGATACAGGTCTAATCGAAACTAAAGCAACGGGTCCCTGAAGGAACACTTGTCGGTTCGTATAGGCAACAGCATTTATACTGAAGTATTTTTTTCTCTGGGTTATGAAGGAAGTTCATAAAAAATAACCGAGATGGTAAGGGCTTATGCAAATAATTTGGGATAATTCTTGAATCATTTTTATAAAAAAATATTGCGTTGTCATACTTGATAAAGTTTGTGGTTTTCATGTTCAGATCACTTAATTTTGGCACTCAAGGTCAGACATTAATTAATTGACACTTATTTAGACTAGAAACTACGTAGATCGAAGTAGGCAAGATATAAATTAGTAGCCATACCTAAAGCATTATTACAAGTGATGAATATACTGAAACTCCATGTGATCATAAAGAAAATATTTTAGTGCATCACTATCGGCCAATACTGTCTGTTAAGAATAACCGGGTCAGGTAACCAGCAGTTCACAATTCAGTTCAGAGAAGAGAATGTTCAAGCATCATTTAAAGTTGTCTCCGTATGATCTCAAGCGGTCGCTTTTGGCTCAACAGCTCTTCCAGGCCCATGTACTGTCCGAGCCGCCTAGTGAGGTCGCGACGATTATTATGCAGTCCATATATCTCAGCCTACTGTTGAAGCGCCGGGGAGAGGTTTGGGAGACAAGCTTCGGATAAGTAAAACTTTCGCATTATATCTTGTTTTCTCGTCTAGTTACTATGCGTTCAACTTTTTGTGTTATTCCCCCTAACCTTTACAAAAACATGACCCGATCTTCACGGGTTAAGGAATTAATGACCAATCAAAATATCATCGGCACATTTTAACCAATCAAGTAACGGAGCAAGGGAAGATTCTCGGAGAAGATAGGAAAGAAACAAATGGAGCAGAACAGCAGCCTAGGAAAAATCAGCATAAATGTTTATGCAAGACAACTATGCGCAATTTAGACAGGGTAATAAGGAAGCAGAACTTGAATAAATATAACAAACGTCAGTTATCTGACTACACACTGAAGAAGTGCAATTGAACAAGCCGCGGAAGAAAACATCAAACGCGATAGAATAATGAAGCATTGTCAAACAGGGAGTACTGGCAACTGTATTTACTACAGGTGCAAATGACTAAACAAAGTGGGCCAGGGTAGGTAGTGTGAACAGATGATATTTGTAGGCTAGCTGCCATAAATCAAGGGTTATCTAATAGGTTAACTGGTTCGAACTTGCACTCAGTGATCGACAACACCGCCCATTTCTAACTAATTCGAGTAAATGCAATGAAACCAAATTCAACATTCCAATTGGGGTCTCCCGTCAATAAGAGCGAAAGATGAACAATATCATACGATTACAGAATCCGTATAGAACGGGTTCGAAAACGAGGCCTAGGAAGAGTGCACGATTGCATGCAGCGTCACACACGAGTAACCCGTACTGATTTCAGTCGAGCAATATTTCCATGTCCTCATCCAGCAAATACGATGTTCATTCATTATGCAAATGCCATGTGGATGGAGAGAAGAGAAAACAATAAATCGGTTTCATCAGTAAATTTATTGATGTTGTTAAAAATGTGAACGACTAGATTCAGCTGATAGTCTAACTGAGTTGAATGCCTAAATTGTAAATTAGTAGACTACATCAGTGGTGTTTAGGGAAAGAGAATCATCACGTCGATCACCACCTTGGTAAACGTTATCGCCATCAGCGTCGTCTTCGCCATCATCGTAGCCGTCATCATCCTTGTCATCGTCAGTATCATCACCTCTATCAGCTTTGGATCTCTCATACTGCTCTAAGTCATTCCCAGTGTGATTTCGAAAAGCTTCATCCGATCGCCTTCGGTTCTTACATTGAACGGACAACACCAGGACCAGGAGAAGCGAGAAGCGAAGAAAGGACATATTGCTCGGAACTAAGCAGGACAATGTGATGGACCTACTGAACGGGAAATCCTATTTTATACTACAATACCGTGTTTACAATATCGTGTTTTCTGGAAACGGGTTCACACAACCATGTTCTGTTAGGGATTACACCCTCACACAAATGCTTACACACACTCGGCGTCCACACATTTTGATGTTTCGATTGGGCAAGAGAAAATCCGCCTAATCTGGAGATTGATCTGATCAATGTGTCCAGCAAGATATGACTGAATTACTATGATGCCCGCCTTCAAGTAACTAAATATTGCCTGTGTGTGTGTTTCTGTCAGCAAGTCATTGATTTGTTTTCCCGAACACAATCATGGGGTGTCTCGTTTGAAGGTGTACAAGAGAAGTTCTGCTTGAGCGAGGGAATGTATGTGTATGAACGCCAGAACTGTCGATTTCATTACTGAACAACACTGGTGTTTGGAGTTCGCAATCCACTATTGCTGTTGTTGTCCACTTAGTCGGATAACACGTACTTCGTGCAGGACTTCTTATTTTCTAGAATACATTTAAACCAGTAACAGCATAGAGAATAATCCTCAATTCACACCGTGCGATTCACTATGATTGGTTTGAAATTGGTGTCGTCCAGTTGATGGCATCCGGTCACTCTGAACGCAATCTTTCGTGCAGACTAGAAGTTTCGCACAATTTTCCTTCATTTATTCATCCAATCATTTCAGTGGTCTGATATTGTGACGGCGGCTATTCCGGGATCAGATTTGCATTAAACTCCTGTTCCATACTCCGCTCATTGTACCAAGGGATTTACAATTAGGGCAAGCATACCTTGTGATAAGGAAACTGGATTATTTTCAAAACCGTACTCAGAGTGGTTTCCATAACAGTTCTTGCAGGTCTGGTGAATGGCAGTGAAAAGGTTAGAGATATTTTATCATTGGTGCCTCGAGTACCAGTTGAAAGTTAACAGCCACGGGAGTATCTCGAATTCGCCGAATAGAAATCACCGCAGCTCTGCTCTGTGACCCTCATGCACAAATCACCTTGTTTTAAATAGGCAGGTAGAAAGACAAACAGAAACTCTGATGGAATGAAAAATACATACCTTGTCATTAGTCTCGCAATCATCCACCAGACCCGCTAGGCTATCCAGAACGGCTCGTGTAACGCTGACATTATATGCTAGAAAGGGAATCCGTCCGATTTTTCCCCTGTTCACTACCGACTTTGATGCAGATTTCCAAGCGCAAAATGATGTCCCCCGAGCTCTGACTTTGGTGTGTCTGAGGAACTCTTGACTGTGATATTTGAATATTGAATTGTTAGAATATTTGAATTGTTTAGCATTTGGAATGGAAAGGCGAACACGTCAGCTAGCTCCGGTGTGCTGTTGAATAAATGTGGCACTGGCAAGCATCTAACGGTCGGTCTGAATCCGTCACATTTGTGGTGGATAAGCATTAGTGATTAGTTACGAACAATAATTGGTTAAAATGTGCTGCATGGCTTTTGAAATGATGTATTTCGGGTCAACAATACATTACGAGATACATTCTGATCATTCAGTCGCTTGCTCAGAAATCAGTCAAAACAGACGACGGATTACTATGTTTTAATTTGTGTTTGCATTTTATCGTAGCAATAACCGTCAGACACTAATTCTCCAAACTTGGTTTAATAACGTGTCCTAATATCCCTTAGAACTTTCATTACATCGGTTGGAAATCAATATGAACGTATATACCATCTTTGAGCACCTGGGATACAAAACCATCGGAATCGACGAACTGGTTCAAGGAGACGTTCACCCAACTGAACGTCGAATGGATGAATCTATGTATAATTTGTATACTATACTATAGTATGTACTATGTATACTATGTATGTATACTATACTATACTTGCTAATTCATGAAAGAGAATTCCGTGATGTTCGAAGGGTTTACAAATCAAACACGATGACAGATTGGGCGAGTTTCTCTACTTCGAGCAAGTATGGCGATCTACACCCCACGCAGAACTATGTGCTAGCCCTGCCTCAATTTCATCACCGTGTATCTACGTTCGAATGTGACACAGAAATCAATTCCCGAACTCCATAAACAAATTGAACAAAAAAAACGATAAGCAGTTTCAATTATCTGGATATATAGGGAATGAAAAATTTAAATCAACAAACTGAAAAATGTGAGAACATTAAACCCGCTCTGTTGGTCGGTCAAAGGACATAA